CAGTAAATTACGACCCGGCTCTGTGATGAACTCGGTATTTTCAGAGTGTAATTATCTCATGCACCTGAGTTGAACAAGGGCTCCCAGAGAATGACAAAAGAGCTGATATAGTAAATAATAACCCATCTGCCGTGGAAGTGGAGGCTTCCTAAAGAACAGACCCATTTGTTATTGGTGTTAACAGATCTGGTGGGAAGTGAAGACCTTTAATAATATGTCATCCCAGTCAGCAAAGGCGTTTGCTGAGTGAATAAGTACGGTTGTGCTACGCGTACACCTATTAACACACAAATAGTCCCAAACACAGAGACACCTTCCTTACTCAGAGCTCTTCCTGGACTATTCACTGTTCACAATGTAACAAATACTGTGTGGCATTTAATTGGTGTGCAAAGCTAAAATGTATGTCTTAAATAGATCCAGAAAACTGACCAAGATAATACATCTTTAGATTTGTTAGGTCATATTTCTTTTTATTCACCGTATATTTCTTAACAGTCTTGGTTATATAACATCTCAGCCTAGCAGAGATTAGAATCAAGTAATTCAACACAGCGTGGTTCCAGCCTGAGATATTCACAGCACACTAACACAAGAAAAATTGTAAAGTGAAGGTTTTCTCTGATGGAGAAAGAAGGTTAGGCAAAAAGTCTTACATACAGGAAGTCCAGTCATTTGCTGTAAGAAAATGATTCTCCTGTGCTCCGATGGGCCTGATGTGTTGCAGGTAAAAATTAGATAGCCTGAAGTAGATATTATATAATCATATTGAATATACTAGCATGACCGTTTGCCTCTGCAACAACGTATTTGACATAAATTTTGCTCATGGTCTCATAGTGTTTGCTTCTAGTGATTCTGGATCCAAGGTGAGAGGGGGCATCATGGCAACAAGAGCATGTGCCATAGGCTACTCATCTCACAGTGAAAAGAAACAGAGAGGTGCAGGGACCAAAGACGGTGAGGTCCAACCTTCTAAAGTCTCCCTTACTGCTAGCTAAGGACCATATCTTCTACAAATGAGCTACAAAAGACATCTCATATTCAAACTATAACACTGAGTCACTATGGAAGCCATTTATTTTTAAATAAAGAATTTCTATTTCTTCTGTTCATTTCACCATGAAACTGACTTTCGTGGGGAGTAACTTACATATTTGCCTAAGTGCAAAGTGACTAGAATATAGAAGAAAAATGACGTATCAATGAAGTTTGAAAATCTGCTTATGGGTAGGTACAAACAAACATATGGGCCAGGCGGTGGTGGCACAATCCTTTGATCCCAGCACCCAGGAGGCAGAGGCAGGCGGATCTCTGTGAGATCGAGGTCTACAAGAGCTAGTTCCAGAACAGACTTCAAAGCTCCAGAGAAACTCTATCTCAAACAAACAAACAAACAAAAAACAAAATAAACCCAAACATATGGAAAATATTTTAGTAGCAGAAACAGAGAAAAATAAGCTATATGAGGGGTAAGTTCAGAGTGTTAGTGAACAGAAGTCTAGGTGTAATAATTCAAAAAAAATAATTTCCAACCATTCAAACTTCCTCAGAGAAGCTATGATGCAAGATGCTGTGCTCCCAGCTATGCCAGATCTGCCTCCTCCCTCCCCAAAGCATCTCCATTGTGGTGCAAAACAATGTTTATGGAGTTCTTTCATTCTTTAAAGAGACACTCAGTGAGGATGAAGTATTCAAAAGTTCACAAGCACACTTGTGATTTCATCAACATAGAGAGAGGTGGACATCACAGGTACATGAAGACACGAACACAATCAGGCAGCAAGGTTGCCTTGTGGTATGTTTTCAATATCCTCAATACCAATATAGTTTTGTGGGTTTTTTTTTCTATTTTAGCATTGGGTCATTTAACTGTTTTACTTGTTTGTTGTCTGGCATCTAAAGAAAAAAAATAAAAGAAAAAGAAAGAAAAAAACAAAGAAAAAATGTAAACACCTGGGGGGAAATATTGTTTCTTTGACTTTGTGCTGAGTAGTTATTTATTATTTTAAAAGTCTGTCAATCAAGATCAAAATGAAGATTAAGTATGATGAGAATGGTAAATAATATTAATTTTCAAAGACAAAGCAGCTTTCCAATAAAGATTCCATTCAGTGTTTAAAGTACCACCTTAGGAGGCTTTGTCTAATATTGCATGCGTTCCTGTTTTTTTAAGATGTGTGTGAAGGAAAGATTTATGCTTCTAGTGAGACAGTCGCTCTCTGTGTCACACGGCCATGCACAATCGAATCTCTCATCCAGAGTCTGACTAATATTATTATATTATAGGTGGTTGCTGTGGAGGGAATCAGTGAGAGCATACTGTCATTTCCTTGGAAAAAATTAATCCACAGATGGACCCCAACACCCAACTGCCACTGTACTCAATACTAATGGGAAGTGTGTGTGTGCGTGTGTGTGTGTGTGTGTGTGTGTTAAATAAGACCTGAGTCAGTCAAAAAAAAAAAAAAAAAAGAGGTATACTGACTAGAAAAATCTGTACCACTCACTGCTCCAAAAAAAAAAAAAAAAAAAAAAAAAAAAAAAAAAAAAAAAAAAAAAAAAAAAAAAAAAAAAAAAAAAAAAAAAAAAAAAAAAAGAGCATATTTATCAAAGTCAATGCTTTGGCAGCCTAGAGTTTTCCTAATAGAGACAAACTGAAAGGTATTTATTAATTAAAATGCGCAGTTACATTCTTTTTTAAATGCAAAGAAGATATGTAAGTCTACCTATCATATAAGAAAACGTTTTAGTCAAAATTAAATCTTTCATATTTGTTTAACTAAACAATGAGGGGAAAGGTTTTACTAAGACTGGGGAATTGCTCGTAAAATATAATTTTCCTGAACTTTCTCCTCCAAGATACCTGCCTTGTGGCCTGTTATTCATCCAGTCTCTTGGGAGAGGAGTGAGAATAAAATCGGTGGTTGACAGAAAGACCAAGGCCTGTCTTCTCTATGCCTCTACAGCTAAAAATATAATACAGACAAAAGTATAGAATATTGTGCTCGTTTCTTTAATGATTTTCCTGTCTCATGAGGCTGTTTTGGCTTGGGGTTTATTCATTTTACTGAGTAGAATATGAAAAGAAAGCAACTGCAAACCAAGATTCTAGAAAATACTTGCCTTTTCTGGGTAGTGGAGTTATTTTAAACAGAGAGTCTTACCTGTGGGAACCGGGGATGGGGGTGTTCATACAGTTTGGAAAATTCTTCAGCATATACATATGCAATTAGTCACAACGCAGAAGAAAGAAAGAGAGAAAAAATGCAAGTGAGCTGATAACTCTCCCTCTAGGCCTTGGCTAATGAAGAGTTACTTTATTCCCGGTCTCTCGATTTGGGCTACAAACTGGGTTCTATTAGAGTCATCTTCATTGCAGATTTAATCCAAGCTATTTGTAAATAATACATGGCTTAATATATGATAAAGGAGACCTAGCTCCCTTGTGGGAGACAATATCCCCGTATACAAAGTTTTAAAAGGCAACCCTCCATAGCTGACTTGGTGTAAAGGCAGTCCCAACTAACGAAAGACCATTTGGCTCTCAAAAAAAGCAGTCGCGGGGTTTGCATGACCTGTTCCACACCCTCTTAAGTGCTAGGAAAAGAGACAGGCTCAGTGAGACAAAATGAAAATCTATCCGCATTTCACCAGCACCTCCTAGGGGCCACGTGAGGATATGAGACTAGGAGGAGGGTATCCAGCAGCAACTCAGAATTGTTCCTTTCCGTTCTCATCTTGTACCCTGCTTGTACAACCAAGAATGAGAAAGACTTTGTAGAGACCTTTGGTGACTCAACGCAATCTTTAGGGGTTTAAGCAAAAAGGTACTCGGAATGCTGTGGAGCGTTTGAAGCGCAATCAGGAAGCCGGACCGCAAACTCCGTGGAAGAGAAGACTCCTAAACGCTGTTCTTTCGCTATGACACCGTCGTACTCAGAGAAAATAAGCACCCACTTTACACACTCAGATAAGGATTCATTTCTAAAAGGTTAGGGTGGCGGCGCAGTTAAAGCCGTAGCTGGTGTTTGAGGGTCTGCCATCTCTTGCCTTGTTGCTTGGGAAGGAGGGCTGGGAGGCGCTGGTGCGAGGGCCGAGCTGAGAGTCTGGAGGACTCTGTTTCCAGAGAATTCATTACTCTCTAATTGTTCTGATTTTACATGAGCAGAGCGTGCCAGGCGGTGGTGGGGCGAGAGATTGAGGGCGGACAAGGCGAGAGGAACCAGCGGCTCCCTCCCTTCCCCCCCACACCCTCCCCCGAGAAGTCCGGGCGCTTTCTGTAAGTAATTCACCACCGTTCGGGCAGAGAAACAGCCCGGTCAGACAAGCCATCGCTATACTGGTCCGCATCTAAATCTTGCTGGGGTACTGAGTGCGGGTCCCTGGACACTTTTCGCTGTTTAATTAGCGGATTACCCGCGAGCTGCTGTTGAAAGCGCTGTGATTTCGAAGATCTCTATGCAGGAGAAAGGATAGAGGGAGACGCACCCCAGTTATCATTCATTCCCTCCCGGTTGCAGACGTCTTTCTCAGGCACTGGCACCTCCGAGGCCCATACAGGAACGTGTACAGCCGGCCTCCACCCTGGAAAGAAACTGGGGCGCGTGGGTCTCAGAGACCCACTAGGAAGCTCTTTTGCCCAAGGCCAGGCTGCAATTAGGCAGCGGCCTGGCGGTTGAGCTTCCCACCTGTTGCTGTCCCCGCTGGGGCCGCGACTTCCTCCTCCCCAGCCCTGAACTGGACTCTCAGACCAGGCTAGGAAGCTGGAGGAGGTAGAGGAAGCCACCGCAGGTTCCCTGGCTGGCAGAGCTGGGGGCCGCGGGTGTAAAGATCCTCCCCCTCTCCCCGCTCCCGGCGGCGGTTCCCCGGGCTGGCGGAGCAGCCAGGTGCTCTCCGATTGGCCAGCCGTGGACAGGGGGCGGAGCCAAGAAGGCCGGTTCTCACAAGGACCGCCTCAAAAGCTCCCAGGCTATCGCAGAGCGCACTGGAGCCCTGGCCAGCGCGCAGCCTTCCCGGCGCCGGCAAACAGGGTTTTGGGAATTCTCACTTGCTTTGGCTCACTCTCCTTCACAAAAACCACTGGATCTTACATGCTTCTGTAACCCCACTTCCACTCCATGGTCCCATGATCCTGTGCCAGCAACAGGTAAGGGCTTCAGTGGTTTTTTTTTTTTTTTTTTTTTTTTTCGCCTCTCCTCTCCTCTTTGCGTGTCTAGGGCAGTGGACTAGCGCCACAGTCCCCTACCCTGTTGTCCCCACTGTTCTGGAGGTGCCCATCTGTCAAGCTGCTGTAATGATTTCCTCTGCAAGCTTTGGAGTCCCGGCTCATTGCCTATATAGTTTGTGTGCGCACCAGAACATCTTCAGAGCTAAAAATACTGAGACATGCTTGGAAGAGTTGAGCAATAGAAACAGATTTCTCTGCAGCATCTGTTTGTGCTCATAACTTCCAATGCACCAGCTGTAGCGAGATACTGGGCTGAGAGGCAAGCGCGAGCCTGAAGCGGATTTTTCCTCTTATTGGGGGTTCGAGGGAGGAAGAGAAGGTAATCGGGGATTGGAGGTCTCTCTTGAGCGCTGGTCTCTGACCGCGAGACCCAGCGTTTATTCCAGATCCTTGGCATCTGTGTGTGGAGGGGGGGGATTGTGTGTGTGTGTGTGTGTGTGTGTGTCGTTGCTTCGAATACAGCACGGAGTTCCAGAGTCAGAGCTCCAGAGTGAGCATCTCGAGTCTCAGATTCCTTTGCTGAGAAACAGAGTGTGAGCGTGAGCTGTTTTTTTTTTTTTTTTTTTTTTTTTTTTTTTTTTTTTTTTTGCCTGAAGACCGAAAAACTTTCCCATCCTATGTCAGTTTGCCCTAAGCACTTTGCTATTCTTAGTAATAGTGGTGTAAATTCCTCATCTGAAGACAGTAATAATGGTGTAAATTCCTCATTTGAACACAGTGTGGTTTTAGGGAAGCAGTGATCAAAGAGACACGATTTTGAAGGGGGAAAAAAAAGACTGTCTGATAACATGGATTCATTATGACGGTTGGGGGAAAAACCAAGATGGGAAATGTGTCTGGTTCAGTCTGTCAGTGGAGACTTGGTTGAGACTGTCCTTTCCAAAGGTTTCCACAAACTCCAAATGTACCTGTCATGAAATACAGGTGTTACTTGAAAGCCTGTTTTGGTTAAGCGGAGACGAGGCTTAATATTTCCCTTTGTCGTTATGGTCTCTTCACATTAATAATTAATAGGCTTTCATAGTTCCTTTTGGTAGCCAGCTCTGTGTGTCCTTTGGGTACCACTCCACTTGTTCACCTCGTCTTGATCGCAACCAAGGCTTGGGTTGTTTTTTTTTTAAGTTTTTATTTTTTATTCTACAGGAAAAAAAAAATCCCCATGCCCAGGAAAGAGATAGGTTACTTCGAGTATGGTAGAAATGGTGACAGTTGGGGCCAAGGTCATTTCACTTTCCTCTGTGCCTAGAACTCCATATTGTGATATTTTATTTTTACGTTATTGATATCGGTAAAGATATTTGCTGTGCACCTTTGTGAAATTACTTAAATCAGTCAACACCTTTCAGACACTCCTTATCAAAACTCCCTGGTCAACTGTCCTTCTGTGACTTCTGAGGAGCCTAAAAGATTGACCCCATAGTTACCTGAACCTTTGGACCATTTCAAGCTTTTTAAACGAGGTAAATTTTTGTTCGCTGAACACAAGTCGTCCTTGGCATGCATAAATGCCTAGAGTTGCCACAAACATTGCTGGGTATAAATGTGAGAGGCAGCACTCACGTAGATAGAAATGGGTGTCTCCCCCCTCCACTTGCTCCCTCCCCCACTTTCTGTTTACTGAGCTTCACAGAGGTTGCTCTGCAGCAGTAGGATTCACATAGCAACTTGTGCCCAGAGCACTCTGGGACTGGTCTGCATGGCGTCAGCTGGGGAATAGCTGCCTAAGCACTCATTAGCTGACTTCTCTCACCCAGCACCTTTTTCTTTGGCTATGTCCTGCCTTATCTCAGAAGCTTACATTTTCACTGAGAGCCAAGGACCCTCCTATGGGACACTGTGATTCTCATTTATTCTCCCCAAGTCCCTTTACCTAGTTTCTCCCATGCTCTACTGGAGCTATTTCCTATATACAAAACAATTCAGAGTCCCTCACTTTTGCAGTGTGATCTCTCCTTGCCCCTGTGTTTGTAATTTGTATCTCTCTCTTGCGCTCGTTCTCTCTCTCTCTCTCCTTTAATATCTACCTAAGATTGAGGCACTGGACTATATTTTTCCATTGCTTATGCTTAATTTTGGATCAGCCTATAAATAGCCTTAACATGAAGCACACCACATGTGGCCTCTCGGTTTCCCAGAAATACTTTCTACCTCATTGGTTAAGGCTTGGGTGAAATGATTATTCATGTCCATTGAGTTTAGATCTGGTGTCTTAAACATTTGAGCTTAAAGGGGATTTGTATATTACTCACCAAAGTCATTATCAGCTCTCTGGAACTATAATAGCCATCAAGGAGGCAAGGGTATCTAAATATATTACTAGTTTGCTGTTTTTCAGATAATTTCTGAAATAAAACTGCATGAAAGTCCTATATTTTTTTTTACATGAAAGCCTTTCCTAGATATTTATGAATTAGTGATTGCCACCAAGAAAGGAGAGGGCAAGAGAACTTTCTGCTTACTTGACATCGCTGGGACCTGAGGGCAGGCCAATTGCAAAAGCACAGCCAACTCTACAGACAGCGAGCCTGTCAGAGTACAGTGGGTTCTAGTTCTCTACAGTTGTAACCAGCTCCTCCAGAGTCCGAAGACAGATGACATGTGTGTGCACACATACAGACATTGCTCTGTTTGGGTTTGACATGTAGTTGACATGAGGAAATTTTCCATTTCAAGGAAAGAAAGGGGCAGGGAAGCGGTTATTTTTTTTTTTCCTTTCCAGGAAGTACTGGTAAAACCTGAAAATGATGCACCAGCATGTGGAACAAATTCTGCCATTAGCAATGGAAATGAAACAATCACAGCCCCCTCAGTACAGGCTATTTGCAAGGCTCCAAGTGGGGAAAGCGATTCATAGGAAACAGCTATTGTGTGACTTGTGGAATTCAAACAGATGTCCTAGGATGGAGATGTTGGAAAGTCCTAATTGGGCCTTCAGAGTTCATGGGGTTGTTAAGTTCTTATCTGGAGAGAGGCAGGGGTCAGTGCGAAGAAACCTGGGAGAGACTGCATGGTCCGTGATGTTAATGCATGAAACACTTCTTTTGAATAGTGAAAAGGGATTCATTGGCACTAGCTTATCGTAAAATACTCTACAGTTAAGCTTAACTCAGATGCACTCTCTGAAGGGACCCCTTTGACCCATTCCCACGTTTTAAAGAAAAGCACACCTTCATTTGGTGTCCTGCCACTGTCTCCATGTTCAAGGAGAAACATTTCGCAACATTGTGTGAGCCAAATCATCTGAAAATATTGTTAAAATATTCCTTTCCAAATCCAGGATCTAGACGTCTAAGAAATATGATTCTTCGTGCACTTGTCCAAATGCACACTTCATAGGCTCACAGACAAAACAGTGAAGCAGGTAGAAGGTTGGGAAGGTGCCAAACACAGGAACATTATTTTTTTAAATAAAGCAATCCAAAGGCATTTTCAAATAAAACATCTTTTAGGTGTCAAAAGCTGGCAAAATGTAACACACATTGCAATTTTCACAGATGACTAATCTCAAGAAAACTAAGTTGAGGTACAGCTTGCTAATAGTGTAGACAGAGAAGGAGAAGCCAGAAGACCCGAGCATGGCATTTCCAGAGACAATGCACCTTGCCTCTTGGTGAAGGGCTGCATGAAGTAAGGACAAATGGATCACTTTCTATGTCTGCAGCTGGCTTGGCAGAGAACAGTTCTGTTGACTGATCCATATTCATGTGCCTTTCGTGGAAAATCAAAACTGGAGCCCTCTCACCAAGGCCTCAACCCATTTCTGATCCTTTCTGTCGTCCCTCTTAAAAACAGGACATGGATTCGGCGGTTTGAAAAGTTGGAAATCATTTTCAGTTTTTAGTTCTAGGCCATATTAATAATAATTTGCTTCTAGACTTCATTAATACACATCACATAGAGAAAACACCTTTGACCATTTCTTAGTTATTTTTTCCTTTTTGCTTTCTTTTGTTTTTTCTGTGTTAGAAAAAAAATGTAGTTTTTCTTTTAGTTTATTTTTGAGTCGAGGTAAAGTCAAAGCAAATAGCTAAATTTTAAATTTTACCTGGGGCAGAATGAGGCAGTGGGAGGAAGCTGGAAACTAAGCTACTATTTGTTCATGTTAGGTAAAGGTGAGTGCCTTCTCCATAGGAACCTACAGCAAACAAGAGCAGGAGAAGCGAAAGTAAGCTGACTGGCATTTATGAGCGACTTTGATTACAAAGTTGTCTCTGTTGGAGAGAACACAGCCTTGGACCCACATGAAATGAGCCCTTGCCTTATCTCAATCCGTTAAAGACCTGGGCCTTTGGAACAGAGGTGGCTTCCTCCCTACCCTGTCATTACACATGGCAATCCCATCCCTGGAGAATTTCAGGAGTGATATTGCTAAGCAACAGAATGGCTCTCTATTCCCCAGAGTAAATCTGCGTCTTCAAATCAGAGTCACTTGCATTTAGGGAGATGGTATCCGACATTTCTGCACAGTGTCTGCTTCAAGTGTGGGGAGTGACAGAACAAGTCCAAACAGTATCCGGAAGTTAGGATGCATTTCAAATGCTGCAAAGGACTGTCTGCCCAACATTATTGCTGAAACAAAATTGTCTGTGCACATAGGTGTCAACCTTGTCAGCAAGGCTGTGCCATTCTCTCTTGATGCACATGTAACTGGACGAATGAATACCCTGGGTGTCCTTATGAAATATTCTCTGGACATATCCTACTGGGGCAAACCTTAGAATCAGAATGAATCTTCTGTTTCTCCTACCTTGAGACCCTGGAAGAGAGTGAGCACTGATAAGTAGATACGGATTTTAGAATATTCTAGATTGCTGGCAAACAGTAGAAGAAATGGGAATTGAAATTTTGGTGGCATGGCGAGCAGAGGTACTTCATCTATGTGCAGTGACTGTGATTTTATATAAAAATTTAAAAGAGCATTTGTATGAACAAAGAAAACTCCACACAATCCAATCCAAAGCACATTTGTTTGTGTCATAGACAGTAGGACTCCTTTAAGTATAGCTGTTTTATAATGAATACTCTCTTCTCTTGTAGGACAAGTTCTCTGGATGTCAGCTGAGTTACTAAGGTAACTCTAGCGGTCAAAAGGCAAACCTTGGTAGAATCCCAAGGTCCTTGGAAGCATCTATCTCTCCTCATTTTTCCTTTCTTTTTTTTAATTTTTGGCTTGTGTGTCTCCACCGAACATTCAAAACTGTTTCTTCAAAGGGTTTTGCAAAAACTCAGACTGTTTTCTAAAGCAGAAACACTGGCGTCCACGGCGGAAGCAATGGGCAGTGTGCGAACCAACCGCTACAGCATCGTCTCTTCGGAAGAAGATGGCATGAAGTTGGCCACCATGGCAGTGGCCAACGGTTTCGGGAATGGCAAGAGTAAAGTCCACACGCGACAACAGTGCAGGAGCCGCTTTGTGAAGAAAGACGGGCACTGCAATGTTCAGTTCATCAATGTTGGTGAGAAGGGACAGAGGTACCTGGCAGACATCTTTACCACCTGTGTGGACATTCGTTGGCGATGGATGCTGGTTATCTTCTGCCTAGCCTTTGTGCTCTCCTGGCTGTTCTTTGGCTGCGTGTTTTGGTTGATAGCCCTGCTCCATGGGGATCTGGATGCTTCTAAAGAGAGCAAAGCTTGCGTATCCGAGGTCAACAGCTTCACGGCTGCTTTCCTCTTCTCCATTGAGACCCAGACAACCATCGGCTATGGTTTCCGGTGTGTGACAGATGAGTGCCCAATTGCTGTTTTCATGGTGGTTTTCCAGTCAATCGTGGGCTGCATCATCGACGCCTTCATCATCGGTGCAGTCATGGCAAAGATGGCAAAGCCAAAGAAGAGAAACGAGACTCTTGTTTTCAGTCACAATGCTGTGATTGCCATGAGGGACGGCAAGCTATGCTTAATGTGGAGGGTGGGCAATCTTCGCAAAAGCCACCTTGTGGAAGCTCACGTGCGGGCACAGCTCCTCAAATCCAGAATCACTTCAGAAGGGGAGTATATCCCCTTGGACCAGATAGATATCAATGTTGGTTTTGATAGTGGAATTGACCGCATATTTCTAGTGTCCCCTATCACTATTGTCCACGAAATAGATGAAGACAGCCCTTTATATGACTTGAGTAAGCAGGATATTGACAATGCAGACTTTGAAATTGTTGTCATACTGGAAGGCATGGTGGAGGCCACCGCCATGACCACACAGTGCCGGAGTTCATATCTGGCCAACGAAATTCTCTGGGGTCACCGCTACGAACCCGTGCTCTTTGAAGAGAAACACTACTACAAAGTGGACTATTCAAGATTCCATAAGACTTATGAGGTACCTAACACTCCCCTTTGTAGTGCTAGAGACTTAGCAGAGAAGAAATACATCCTCTCCAATGCGAATTCATTTTGCTACGAAAATGAAGTTGCCCTCACAAGCAAAGAGGAAGAGGACAGTGAAAACGGAGTCCCAGAGAGCACCAGTACAGACTCACCTCCTGACATAGACCTTCATAACCAGGCAAGCGTACCTCTAGAACCCAGGCCCTTAAGGCGAGAATCGGAGATATGACTGGCGGATTCCATCTTTGGAATATTTACGTCGCTACACAGTCTGTTGTTGGTCAGAGGTCCGAGACAGTTATACAGACCATGGTACTGGTCGAGAGGTGGGTGAAGGCGAGTAGCCACGAGAGACTAAGGCTAGCACAAAGGCTTCAAGGAAAGACTGTAAGCGGGATGACTGATGGCAAGCTCTTTGCAGGCCTCCGAGCCACCCGATGGCACATATCCGTTGTAGGAAAGGTTGTGGGGTTTTAAATGTATTGTTTTGTGTTTTCTACAAAACTTGAATATGCAGGCAAGCCTCAGTTTGGGAGTTTAGTTTATCTGGAATGCTTCTCTTTAGGGGAACAAGAATGATTTTAATGGCATAACACAGGCAAGACTCTGCCTTAATTTTTGAAAAGCTGCTAACTACATGAACACAAACTGTATTTTTGTTGCAGTGTAGGTTACCTTTTACGTAATTTTAAAAAGTCAGTGTTGAACATGGTTGAAGGCGCACAGTGTGCTTCAAAGTGTCAAGTATTTGGCTATTGACTGCCAAAATGAGAGCCTGATTTTCTGAGGCCAGTAATTTTGTTTTGCTAAAGTTGATCTCTTTGATCTCTCTCTCTCTCTCTCTCTCTCTCTCTCTCTCTCTCTCTCTCCCTCTCCCTCTCTCCACTTTCTTGTTATGTAAAGGTATTATGTAACCCTAGCCAAATGGTAGCCTCTGGGTTTTATTCTTTTCCTTCCCACTACACTAATAGGTTATCTCCAATTTTCAGTTAGACTACCTAAAATAAATACCAAAGAGAATGCACATCTTTTTGCACAGTGGAGTTTATATTAACAAGGAAACAAAGCCCCATGGGTTGTCTGGGAAATCCAGAGACCCTAACTTTGAGCCTCAGCAAGATGTTGAACAGCCTGCCTGTTCATTCTGCACCTTAGTCTGAAAGAGAAGAAACAAAGTCGATAAATGTGTGTTTTCAATTTTGTTCTTTTGTGCATCCTTCTTATTTGAAGGGGAAGGGGAAGGGGAAGGGGACATGGGTCACACCCACATACAGGCTATCCCAATGTCTTTCTTTCCCTGATAGGTAGCGTAGGTCAGGCTAATGTATTCAAAGGAGGGAGAAAGAGATACTCCACTCAGATCGTTCTGAGCTTTTCTCTTTCTGCACATTCCAAGGTCTTGCTTGAACTTGGTTGATAACCTGGCATCCTACAAACAGAGCCATCCAGCATGGAAGATAGATTTAAAAATTTTGCAACCGAATTATGGCTTTGACAGTCAGGAAATTTCTAACTTGGTGTCACATTAGGAACGATATCTGGCCTCCAGGCTTGTCCTGCTGAGGCATCTGCAGAGAGAGACAACATGGGCTGAGTATGCCAAAGCAGGGGATTTCCGTGTGTGTGTGTGTGTGTGTGTGTGTGTGTGTGTGTGTGTGTATGTGTGGGTGCTACTTCAATGCAAAAATCTACTTTACAAAGGAGAAGGAAGCTGCCTTTTGAATGGCAGAAAAGGGTAGGAGAGAATGTCTCAGTATTTTTAGGGTCTTAGTGAGCCATACAAACACAACACAATTACAAGCTAATGAGTTAGGAGTCTAACGGGTTATTTCTCTCTGTGTACACACTCATGACTATTATGAGCTGGTCATTGTCTCTTGTAAAGTCCCGAAACAGGTTACCAAGGGCACATTATTTTCTAGAATCCTCTTCGGCCTTGTCACCTGACTTGATGAAAACACCTCTCTCCACCCCCACTCTAGCCCAATAATGAAACTCTCCCCCCACCTTTCTTTCTTTCTGTTTTAAAGCCCCCCGCTTGTGCATCCCAGGGTTGCTCATTTTGCCTTTTAGTTTGGAGTCTGAAAATCAACTCTCGAATGGTATTATACCCTAATATGCCATTAAAAATCAGCTTGTTCTTGAATCATGTATTTTATTTCAGTCGATGTTTGTGCCGGTCTGTGGCTTGTGAGCAGCCGTATCTGAACGCAGGGCCTGTTTCTGCTGTTATCAACTGTCCTAAGTCCAACGGGTGGGTAACTGTGGGTGTTATTCTCACGGAAATCAAGAGGGCAGCGTTGAGAAAGGGTTCATCATTGTACATCTGCGTTTAAAGGCAGGGTTAGGAAGTTGCTTGAATCGGAGTTGGAGGGGTCGGTTGAAGACAAAGGGGACTGGCTTGTGACAGGCCGAGGCCATGTGGAGGGCTTCAGGTGCTGCTATTAAGGAGATTTGCAGAGGAAAATTATCAAACCAAAGAGTATTCAGTGGAATGTAAATCAAATGAAGATGCAGTGGAGAACTGGGGTGACCACCTGGCGGTCCCTCCAGACACACAGTGCTACCATTAAAAAGACTTGAGTTATTTGAAAAGGGGTGGGTCCAGGGGCAAGAAAAGAGGGAGGGGAGTCTTTCAACTTATTTTTTAAAAAGAAGAACGCATCTAAAATTTCTGGTGCATAGGTTTGTTTTTCGTTTTTTTGTTTTTTTTTTTTCAAGAAACTTTTGCAGAAGCTACATTTTTTAAAGTGTACATTTTATAAAGTTTATCAGATATTTTCATATTTAAAGCCAAATGTAAATAGAAATCTGTAAAGGAAAAAAAATACCATAGGAGGTATAATTACAGCAGTGATTCTGAGAGCTAGCACCTGTTATGCTACCGGTTAGCATGGTTTTAGCGAATATTACCAGCCTTTGGAGGTTTGTTTTGGTATGTTCTTCTGTTATTTATTTCAGCATGGACTGTTCCTTTCAAAAGCTTTTTTGTAGTTATTAGCATTTTAATAGTTACGAGCTTTAAATGGCTTTTTGTTTCGTTTTCTGCCAAGAGCCAAGACATAGGTAATGCACGGCATTTCTCCCTGCATTTTTACCTTCAGAATATCTGTCTTTGTTGACTGGGCCTCCGGAGCTAGTGCATACACCTGCCACTAGTATGCAGATGGAGAGACTCACCTTGAACATCTGGGCTTTATTCCCAGATGCCCAATGCTTCTCTGCTGCGAGCAAATCCCTCTAGGATGTATTCCCTTTTAAAGAATGTATGCCCGTGTCTGGATGGGCATTATATATATTTTTTGGAGGGGGGAGGCATAGATTCCTGGTTATTCTATTTTTAAATAAAAGGTAGACAAAGTGAATTCTATTTTGATTATCGAGAAAGGAATAGTTTTCTATCCCTCTAAGAGTATACTTGAATCAGACATTTCTAGAATGTCGTAGAGCACTGTAGTCATTTCCATATCCCTAGAGAAAGTTCCTTTGACTCCATTCTCGTTCTGTTAATGCGTTATTCGTTGTCTTTCACTTCCTCTCTCCCTCAATCTTGCTGTGTGTCTGATGACCTTGGTCCCCCTTGCAGACAACGAATGTCAGCTCTTATCATATAATCAGTCACCCCCTAAAAGCAAACGGTTCATCCTTAGGGGTGGCTTAAGCTCCCCCTCACTCTGTTTAACGATGTTAAGGTGGAAAGTACAAAAGGCTGCATTACTGCATCCCCTCCCACAACCTTCCGTAAACTAGAGTTTCTTTCCTTGGAATGTTAGGTTTCAGCTCCGGGCTTTGGCGAGTTGAATAATCCTAGCCTTTGACAATCATGATAGTTATTATTTTTCCCATTTGCCATCTTTTTGTATCTAAAGTCTTCCTATTGTACTGCACAAACCATGGGTTGTACATATTTTTTTATATATTATGTCTTATTTTATTATTTCTAAATAAAAATTAAAAAATGAAAATGAGTTTGTGGAATTTTCATTGGATTTCTTGTATGATTGCTGTAGGAATGTTAGCATCAATATTCTCAGACAATGAGACATTAACTCTGGTTATTTGACTGAAGAGATCTAGAGAAATGGCCTGAACACACAGGTGCAGGAGACTGGCAGATTAGTTTAATCCAAGTTAGACAAAATCAAGCTTGTATTTTGGTTTGGGACAAAACAGCTTAGAGGATCGAAAAAAAAAAAGAAAACAAAATAAAACTTAAAAAATGGTTTGTATTTTGATTACTAGCTTGCAGTAATTACATTTTGTTGACCCTTGACTATAAGTAGATTCTGCCTTGTATATTATTTATCCTGTTTTCTTTTCTTCCTTTTTAAAAATATTATGACATTATCTCATGTAGCTCAGATTGGCCTCTGAATTAAATATGTAGCCAAGGATGACCTTGAACTTCTGATTTCCCTGCATCTACCTTCAGTGATGAGATTCCAGGCATGAGTCACCATGCCTAGTTTGTTTGGTGCCAAGGAGAGAATGTCGCGGTCTTTGTGCATGCTACACGCTGATAACTGAGCTATATTCCTACTATATTTCATCCCCCCCACAAAACAAAACCAAGGTATTGTATGTTTAGTGTAGGACTAGGAAGGCAGATGTGGCGACCACCGGGAGAACATATTTTGACTTCCTGGGCCGGAGGGCTTTTGTTTTAAGTTAGCTATATGCCCTTATAGTCGGAAAGCAATGCAGTCACAGACAACAGGAGCAAAAGTGAGCTGAAGTGTTGGAGCAAAAAACCTGAGTTACAAGTATAAGAAGTAGATCATATTTGGTTGGTTGCCTATGATTTTTCAAATCTATGATAAACAAAGACAGTGAGGGTAATTTTTAAAGCTGAGAAGTCACTGGGATAAGATTTGAATTCATTTGATCTCCTTCTACTCTGTGACCTATTATTTCAGAACACCGCACTACCAGCTCTAGATGGTCTCTGAGAAAAAGGGTCCTTCCTTCTATCAAGTCACCGAGTTTTCCAAAGCTGGAGACATAAGGAACACTGCTGTTCCTAGATATGAGCTTCTTGCTATTTCTTTTACTCAGAGAACCCTTTCAAAGGTGGTTCCAACTTCTTGGCAACTATTAAATAATTTCATCTTAATGGCAAAACTCTGTGGCTCCTGTTCGATCATGACTTGAGAATTAAGTGATCAAGGCCTGGAGAAGCACTTTGTAGGAGATTTTAGCCAGGAGGTCAAGGAAGAATGAGGAGTTGCTCAAACAGCAGAGGTGCTGAGGCGGAGACTACTTACTCCTTTATGATCTGGAGAGCCGGGGCTGAGGGGTCACTTAGAAGAGGTAGAATCATTGCATGTGTAAACGCCAATTTTGTGACCTGTATACATTTCAAGCTTCAGAGGCATTTCAGTTCACTTCAAATAGCTCAGGCCTGCCTCTAGGCAAAAACCACCAAGCTCTGCCGCTCACCAAACGGCAGGTACCTAACCACTTCATTCACTTCTGCTTTCTCCGTGCCGGGGGCAACCGGAAGGTAACAGGATACTCCTGTGGTTCAGAGAGGAAAGAAGATCATGGCGTGATAAAGCCAGGACAGATGCAATAAAGACCCCACCTCTGTTTCTCTGCATTCATTCATTTGTATGTGGACACATAAATGTATATGTATTCATATACATACATAATTCATAATACATAATGAATACATAAATGTGTATGTATTCAAATATTAAACAAAATAATGTCCATGGATAAACTCCCAAGTTGAATTTCAGAAAGGTTTTGTTGATCAGACGAGACTTTTGAGTGGTACACACTCCAATTCCTCCAAGCTGTAGGCTTTGTAGGCCACAGTTCCTTGAATAATATTTGTGAAGAAGGAAAAGTATTTAATTCTAGAAGATTTCACTTTAGAGCTATGGCAATGGATTGAATCAAATGGATTTGTTTTTGTCAAGCTAAACACACCTACATATACAGAGGGAACACCAGACCCACACATCAAGTCCATGATGCATGTGGTTTGAGATCTCTCTATTGCTTTTCTCACATGGACCCTGTTAACCTTGTAGTCCCATGAATCAAAAACCCTGTCAGAGGTTTATCCTTAAAGACATTTTTTTTAAAGTAACTTATACCATTTAAGACAAAGATGGGCTAAAACTATCAGAGTATTTAGCTCAGAAATAAAGTAGCCGGTTCCCAAGGTGCTGGTCTTTCAGCGCTAAGCAGGGAATGTTCCGTGAAGACTGGGAGGGGGAAATTATGCTATTTGGAAGCTGGTGAGGAAGGGGGAAAGTTAGGGAGAACGTGGAAGGGAGGAGATTAAGCTAGGTGAGCCAGCTCCAGCACGGGAGAGTTACCAAATCCCAAGGATAATAATGATGAATAATTATATATAAGTGGCTCTTTCCAAGTAACGAAAATGTGTAGCCTCGGGGATATTCATTGTTTGGAGGAATGATTTTCTTAAGTTATAATTCTCTCTCTGGTTTAAAATAATGATATATATTATTTAACATTTCCTTGGGTGACTGAAGCTAATATGGGCCTTTCTTCATGGTGGCATCTAAATTTTTACATGTTTTATTTATTGTGAAACCATGACCTGAGTTTTTGTTCCCTGACAGATGTCACCTAGCACAAGTCAGGCTTTCCCTCTGATCTCTGGTATCAATGAACGCGGATGAATGCACCATGATGCGTAGGCCCTGTATTGTCATGTCACAGATGCTGTCGTAAACTCCTTTGCCTATCACGTAGGCTATAGATGATCAAAAACTGCTGTCAGACTAGCAGCACCATGCAAGTCAAGAGATCCACGTAAAACAGGAAGATCTGGTTCAAACGAGGAGTTTGTGATAATTCTACTTTTTTTCCCTCTCCTTTCCCATCCCTGTTTACCATCAATCACCCTAGCTTCAGTTTCTTCCTTTATGGCATTGGAGACTTGTTAATAACAGGTGAGCAGCAAACCACTGAACGAAAATCCATCCCCATTTATCATTTTAATTTTGAGACAGGATTTTACTAAGTTGTCTAGACTGGCCTTGAATTTATATTTTTTCTCTTTCAATCTTGAGAATAGCTGGGATCACAGACTCAAGGAAGTTGACTTGGGATTGAAGCTACTTTTGTATTTCAGGTTTGGTATAGGAGGTCCTTCTGTTTATGTGTTGCTTTCATTGGTTGAATAAAGAAACTGTCTTGGCCTTTTGATAGGGCAGAACTTAGGTAGGCATGGAGAAGACAGAACTGAATGCTGGGAAGAAGGGCAGAGTAGCAGACGCCATGGATCCCTTGCCTGAGAGGGACACTGGTTAGAATCTTGCCGGTAAGCCAAAGTCATGTGGCGATACACAGATTAATGGAAATGGGTTAAATTAAGATGTAAGAATTAGCCAATAAAAAGTTAGAGCTAATGGCCAAGCAGTGTTTTAATTAACAGTTTCTGTGTGGTTTTTTTGGGTGTAAGATAGCCAGGCAGCCAGGACAACAAGCAGCCCACTCCTGTTACACAGGTTTGAGCTTCTATTCTGAGATCTTGAAGCTGTTCAGAAGTTTGAATTCTAGAAAGTTCTATCCAACCTGGCCAAAAGGAGGAGTGATTATATAGTTCTGTGTATTTAAAGCTTTCTTTGTTGTAATTGACTTCAATAGATTACCATTTGGGAAGTGGTCAGTATGGCTGTCTCCTTGTCTTAGGAAGCAAAGCTGTACTTAGAAATAAAAAGTATACATACGACAGCAAATAATAATTACTCAGAAATTACTACCAATTGGGTTCATGAATATAGATCAACAGCTCTTACCATACATATTTAAAAATATTCACTTGGAAGTGAAGGGATTTCTAAGCATTATCACAACATGGCTTTTAGTATTTATGCAATTAATGTTGATTTAAAAAACTGCCTGTTAAATTTTACTATTTTTTTTTTAAAAAAAAAGAACCTGGATGAAATGGCAAAAGTGGAAAGGGTAAGATGACAACTGCTGAGCTAGGGAGGTGGTTCAGTGGGCAAAAGCAGGAGAACATGAGTTCTAATCCCCAGAACCCACAGAGAAGACAAGACTCTTAACACAAATTTCTGGAATCACAGGATTCCTGCAGAGACAGGTAAGACAGAGAAGTGAGAATCCAGGTAAGACAGAGAAGTGAGAATCCCTGGCCATTTTCTGGTGGACCAGTCTTGTGTACACAGTACAATTAGAACCAACAAGACAGGCACTGTTTCAGACAAGATGGAGGGTGAGGACCAACACTCAAGCTTGTTCTGACCTTGGCACATGCATGGTGGCGTGTCGGTACCTACACTCATACACATGAATGTGTACATACATACACACGTTGCATACAAATGATTTTAAGTAGACAAATATCATTTTTTTTGTAATGCTCAACCTAAATTGCTCATGCTCAGACTTCAAGTGGGTTTCTGCAGGCTTGTGCTCGTATGGACACAGTCTTATTTATTTTTTTCCATTCTATTGTCAGTTCAGATCCACGATTCTACTGTGACCACCTTGTCCCTGGTCTCCAAGAGGAGGGACAGTTGTCCTGACTTGAGTAAAGACTTGGGTCCATGATTACATAACAAAAATAAATAAATCAGTTCTCCCATTTTTATAAACTTTGTTTGCCTTTTGTTTTTCACATTTTTTTCCCTAAGACTGTTCTTTATCTGAAGCATCAACTAATCTCTTTTAATGCGATACTATAGCAAAGAGGAACTCACTAAACAGTATGTAGGAGTTTATTTTAGAATACGTTGGTAGCTCCATAAGAAAGCTGCTTATAAAAGCACAGTATTTACTAATAGAGCCATTTCAGAGGCAAGTTCATACACATCCTGAGAAGCACACTCTTGGCAAAGCCCTCTCAGATGGCACCCATTTGTAGCCAGCAAGGAAAGGTTGAATAAACACGTCAGAGGTTTCCTTCAGTCCTCTTGTACCTTTTTGCTGGTGACGGTGAGATCACCAAGGACTACTTTCT